CTGAGTGGCACTGCAACTGTTATAGATAGACGTGTCGCTTACCACCAGGCGCACGACTTGTTCGTCCCGTAACTTGATAACACAAAAAAAATAGAGTTTTATTATAAGAACCGTTATTTTGTTTATCAAAATATTTATTTCCCTTTTAACAAAAGTCTGTATATTCCCTAATTATCGGTAATAGGAAACCTATTTATTCATTGTTGTCTATGATAAGAAGTCAATGTCAACGTCAGTTAGACAAAGGAAACTTATTTGGCTTGGAAACCGTTCATGTTTCGGCGAATTCGGCGAAATAAATGTTATGGAGAATCTATTTGTCCGGTAAAATGTCAATTCGGATATTAGCCCTACGTACACTAGAACACTACACTGACGCATATCAATTGGAGCTTAATGGAATCAATCACACTTCTTGATTGAATTCATTATTTAAATGGGTAAAACATTCACGAAAAGTATATTTTCCAATCAAAACATTATTAATAGTAACAGTTTTGTTTTAGTATTGAACTTTATCAAAGAGTATCAGTACCGTTGTACGGTGGACGTATGCGACATTCTATACCTGTTGAGAATGACCTAGGTAATCAGATAATATTGAGTGTTTAACAATGATATTTATTTATAGTTGCAGTATTAACGGAAAACTCCAGGCAAACTCGCTATTAGTTGCACAATACGTATCATTTTGCTTTAACTCAAGGGCCGTCCGCTTGTTCCCCAACTATACTAGCGTAAAGAGCTTTTTGGTGCTTTTTTAATTTAACAAAATTGCGTTAGACCACGATCGTACCTGCTGGTAATTGCAGATGTGTTTACTGTAAAATATAAGTAGACAGTTTTTAGTTTAGCAAATTGAAAAAAAAAAAAAATTATTCACGAAATCAAAGAACATCCGCATTTAATCAAATTCTCATATTTTTGGGATTACTATTATTAAATGAGGCTATTTCTTCGGAAATTTGAAATTATTCACATTGTTCCGGTAAGTAGTATACGGGTCTTTGATTCATTTATAAATTATCTAGTAATTAAACTGCCTCCGTGGCCGAACGGTCACCATGCCGGACTGCCACGCAGAGGTCCCAGGTTCGATTCCCGGGCCGAGAGAAATATTTGTATAGCCTACATTTATTTCTCTCGTGAGTTTGGGTGTAATTTGTGGTTGTTTATGTGTGTGTCCATGGCACCCGGGACACAGGGTTTCCCTAGTGCGGGGCTATGTTGATTGTGAGCGTTATTATTATATTATTAATTTAATAATTATTAAATTTGACTATTTCCATCTCGTTTCCATACTGATATTAGATTCAATTGTGATACAATTGCATAAATAACCGTTTACATGAATGCGCCTTCTTTAGGATGATCCATTTGCATAAATAGCTATTATTTTCTGCTTTGTAACTTAATCTACGACTTATGATTTGTTTTTTATTGTTCCGCAACTCAGTGAAACAGTGTATGTATGAACCGCCACATCTAGTATGCTAGTACATAGATATCGTTGGTTGGAATCACTATGTTGGATACGCTCAAAACATCTGAGTCCGTCATCTTTTTTTTATATCAGGCTGATGCCTCGGTCCACCAGATGTTAAATGGAAAGTGGAACCCAAGCGTAAAAGAACCTAGTGCAGTATTGATATAATCATTGCTCTAGCCACTTCCAACTATAATAAGTAAACGAGAATCAAATATTTATGCTATTAAGGCAAATATTTAGTTTATAAATAGGTACTAGGGTTGGCACACTCTAATAATGAAAAATTGTAATAATTCAAATATAGAATGACACTGCGTAACCTTAACAGAATATTAATCTTATAAGTAAAGAAGTCTCAAGACGAAATTTTGACTCCCTAGAGCAAGACTGTTGTGCAAGACAGAGTGGAGGGCACTAGACTGCGCGGGAGATCACCCATTCGATGGACCGATCAAATAAAATCTGCAGTGGCCGGTCCTTTACATGAGTGCTCGCGGGAGTCCACTAACAGAGAAAGATGTCGTGAGGCAAGCCACATCAGCCATTAACAAACGTACTCCGTGATGACCACGACCACTCTGTCAAGAGTGATACGAAAGAGAAGAAGAAAACTAAAGGAGACAGATCATCTTTCAAAAAAATTGCTTATATTGACAGTTGAAACGTTCAATTCCATGTCACGTTATGATACGATTTTAGTATGAGAAAATAGGTGAACGGCTTTTGAACGGTTAACGTAAACTGCATGGAAACTTGCTTTGTTTCCATGAGGTCATAGTATGAATTTGACAAGCAATTCAACTTATTGGCTTAATCACGATAAGAGCTCATAGTAGGCCTCGTGATACCAACTCATTTATGTTGTCAAGAAAATCATCTGAACATCCCAATTACAATGTTAATGCGTAAGAATTAACCTTTGACCTATAATATTATAGTAGCGACTCGATGAGCAAGAAAATTACTACATCAAATACCACTTTATAATGATTTAGGTTACGAATGCATCGTTGACTTCCGTTACAATCGAATAGCTCCGGTACTTAAACTTTAGAAAATAGTACTGTAATTCGTATGTACGAGATTATTCATATGTGTGAATTCGGGCTCGCACCTCTGAGTTATTGGAATTTATGTTCTAAATTTAATTTTAAACTTCCCATGAACTTTTCAATGAAGGACAATATCGTGATGAAAACCGGCCACAAAAGACGGGTTCATGACTCTCGGAAAACATGTGACGTCCCCAACCCGCACGGACTATGGCCTAAATAAAACCCCAATGCGGTGTGGGAGAAGATGTTGTGACAAAGATAGGGAAGGGGATGCTTAGGTGGTTCAGACATATAGTGAGAATTAATGAAAGAAGATTGATTAAACAGACTAATAAGACTAGTGTGAGCGGGCAAGTTGATAACGCCCGACCTAGGAATTTGTTACTATCGTGGAAAACTATGTACTCGACTCATGTGTCACGATGGGTCTTACGTAATAATGAGAGTAATGCTCAGTCCACATGAATTTGTAGAAGGTTTAAATAATAAAGTAGGGAAAATGTGAAGAAAAAGGAGAAGAAAAACAGTAACAAAAAACAATATTATAAAACACTTGATATGCTTATGGATGAATATACAGTAGACATTTACCTTAAAAAGGCTTGTATTAGTATTTATATTGCTGCTCTATAAGCAGTTGGGTTTACATGACTGGAGAGCACGTCTGATGGGAGAAGCAAAAGTATTGCTTCTCCCATCGAAGAGGAAAGAGGAAAAGAACGGCGAAGAAAAAGACGAAGACGAAAAAATGATGAAGACTAAAAGATTGACGAAGAAAAATAATTAGAGAACTATTTAAAATAGGAAATGAAACTATTTTTCCGGATTTAAATCGCGTATATTTGTTTTTTCAAACAAACCGACGTTTCGGGCCCTTTACAGGTCCCATGGTCACGGTTGACTGAAAAAACAAATATACGCGATTTAAATCCGGAAAAATACTTTCATTTCCTATGTGTAACGATCGCGAAAACCTAAGAACTCGATAACTATTTAAAATTTTAAAAGTAAGGGGCCAGGAACCAAAGAAATGGTGATAAAAAGGTGAGGTGACGATGAAAGAGGTTGCATCGTCACACATGTTATTATTATTTACCATAATTGTAATTACATGTAGTGGTTTGACCTACTGACTCTCAATAAGAGAGCGTGGGTTCGATACGGGCTCTGAGTTTTTCGGAATTTATGTACGAAATTTAATTTGAAATTTACCAAGAGCGTTTCGATGTAGAAAAACATTGTGAGGATACCTGCACACATCTACAAAGCAATTTGATAACTCCTTGTCATAACTAATGCATTAGCATTTCGGTAATACGAGATAATGGCACCTAATGTTTTATTCTCACCTAAAAAAATGATTTATGCTGATTTTGCTTAAGTTATTAAAAAACCAATCAGAAGCGGTTGTATATCTCGTTTCGTTGACCCCCGGATATTTTAATAACTCAGTTTAGCTAAAAATGTCCATGACGTTAGGATAGGATAGGATAATGAGGGCAGTGTAGCCGAAGCCCTCTCCTTGTGAGAGGAGTCTGTGCCCAGCAATGGGACTATTATTGTATGATAATAGTCTCATTGTTGGGCAATGTTAAAATTTGCTAAAATGTTAAAATATTGTGAGCGAAAATCTGAAGGGGCTATATTCTGCAAATATAAAAATAAATAAATAAAAATAAAAATATTTTATTTTCAGACACCATAGGTCCATAGTTTGTTAGTAAGCAACTTTATACTATATTAGCAACAAATGACTGTATGGTGAATTTATGATGTATTGTTTATGAAGTGTACATTAAACTTTTAAAATCAAAATAATATATCGAAATATGATGGATGAAATAAAACAATCTGAAACTAATTGCAACAGTTTTTGACGGCTTTGTAAATATTGCGTGGTTTGGCATTATCATAATGAACTACAACACCTTTACAATTTACCAGTTCTAAACTTAAAACATTCCCGCTTATTTTTTAAATGTGCGCCATAAAATATTATTAAAATGACCATAGACAACATCGAACTTCAAAAGAAAAAGTTCTTTATTTGTTTAAAGTTAATTAATAATAATAAATTTATTTGCCATAATAATAATACAACATGCATAAAGTAAGTATCAAAGAATCAGTAGATATGACCGCTGGTACTTAAAACAGGAATCCCTGTGCTATAATTACCAGCAAACCTTCCAATGACGTAGCAAAGTTTACAATCTATTAAGTACGTTATTTTATTTATACATTATTCAAAAATAATAATAAGAACAAGTAGTAATTTATGGAGACAGCTAATGAGTAAAATTAAATTAATCTAAATTATATAATCAGTCTAAATAATTCTGTCACTGAAATTGTATGTGTGTGCGTGTGTTTGAGTGTGTATGAGTTATTAGTTTGCCTTTTGGCTGAGCTAGCCTACATAGACTAACTATGATAATGATGTTAGTGATACTTACGGTTCCCAACAGAGTAGGCGGTCAATCCCGACAACAACTTAATGAGTTTATAAACAGCTCCAAGTTGAATAACCAGCAGCAATGCAAATATGACTACTCCATACAGCTTCCACAGGATCTTTTTAGGGCCAGCGACACCAAATAGTTGGGACCATACGAATACTCTTTCCATGGTGTGTAAGAAATCCTAAGTGATGGAAAAAACAATAAATATAATTATAATAACAACAGTACAAGTATAAGTCAAGCAGCAGTAGAGCTCCTTGTTCAACTGTTTGTCCAGGCAAGTACTGCCACCTTACCTATTTCTGCCGCCAAGCATATTGTTAACATTATTGCGTTCCGGTTATAGAAGGGTAAAGGTGTTGGTGAAATTACAGGCACACGGGACTTGTCAACTTTTTGTCTCTGGGCGACGGGCGTAGTGGCACTACCCATCGGATCTTTGCGATTTAAAGCTCTGAGTGGCACTGCACCTGTTATGGATAGGCATGTGGCTTACTATCAAGCACACGACTAGTTTGTACATATCACTGACAGAGCTCCAATCCTACAATATACTTTGCTGTTGTCGGGAATCCGTACTGTGAGCCGCCAGACTCAAGTAGAAGATGTAAGGGATCTCGACGAGCTCATAAATTTAAAGCCGATATAAGTTGACTGTAATATATTGGTAATAGGTTAATGGTTTACAGGACTAGTGCCATTAATCGCGAAACAGTGGTAGTTTGTTATGGAAATACAATTCGAAATTCCTTTTTGACCTTTTTTTAGTTTGTGCCATAACTTCGTTAAATTATGGTAGGAATGAAGTAATATGTATTTGGTGTTGGTTGACTGATTGAACATAGTAACCCCGGTCTATGTAATGTGCCCTTGACGAGTTACTGCTTTGAAAGTTATACTAAATTTTATTATAAAAATTCTTTTGCGTTCGCAACACGTACCAACAAACTTTCCCACAGCAAACTTTAAAAAAAAGTTGTAGATCGATCTTTATTTATTTAAATATTACTTATTTACGACATACGGAGCTCACTTTCAAAAGCCATCCAAACCTCTATTAAGAACAAATTGAGATTTGACGTGACACTATTGTAATCTGTCAAAACGGTCATCATAGCGTGCCGGTACTGCGGAGAATGAATCCGGTTTTGAGCACTTTCCGGTAACCGGTAAAACTCAATAAAACTTGGCAACTAGATGTCATTCCATAAACTTTTGAGGTCGGTTTTTTTTATATAAGAAAGTTACAATTATGTATTGAAATGTAAGTCTACGATGACTTTTTCGCTTAGCGTTGGTGGCGGTTTGTTATGTCAGCATTCTCAGTTGTGAACAAAATTTCTTTATTTCATTCGCAAATAAATTACAGCCAAAATTATCATATTTTTTACATTTACCGCTGATTCGTGAGTCAGAGTCCCCTGAGAAAAACAAAAGACATTTTTTACCCACAAATCTACTACGGATAAGGTATTACGAAACTACTTACATCGTGAGAAGGTTGTCCAGGAAATATCAGCTGCTTTTGCGGTGTTATTGTTGGCAATCCAGATTCGTAGTACATTTTCACTGATGCCACGACATATTATGTGATGACCCCGAGAACAATAAAATACATTCATTAGTCGTATCATTGCACAAATATCATAACACCTAAAATTATACCTTAATACTATGATCACAAGTATTTGTTATAATTTTTACCACGCGCTTATTTTGCACGGTACGAAAGTAACATTCTAAGGGTCGTATTCCAGAACTCTACTCAATACTCAAAACATGATTCAAAACACTAGAAATCATACTCAAGTCCTTGCCATTAGGGTCGTATTTCCAGTGCTTGAAATCATACTCAAGTCTGCTCAAATCCTGACTTGAGCATTGAGTAGAATTCCGGAATACGACCCTAAGAGTAATATTTTTGGGAAAGTAACAGAACAAATTTTAGAAAGTAACCTACGAAATACAACTAGCAAATGGCATATTGGGCTGGTGCCATATACATGGTGCCAAAAGTTTCAAAATCTATTTCGTCGGTTTCCTAAAAGTTATTTTTTTAATATCATCACTTTATTAGAGTGTATACGAGAACGCGATTTAGAACTTGTTACATTAAATTAATAGCGTAAATATTTCTACTTAACAATGTTTCTACTTGTAAACAGTACCTTTTCGAATGTATTTGTGAATGAAATTATGGACTTCTCGTAAATGTAATTTTATAGTGTAAATCTCAAAGGCTTGTTAATCACCAATAGAATGATTGATAATTGACATAGAATGACAAGTGAAGGTCAATTTAAATTGGATATCATTATCAATCAATACAAGTATTAGTCCACAACGCTCACTGCAATAATTGCGGATTTATGTACCATCGGCAAAGTTAGCGTCTTGCCATCTTAAGGGTTATTTTTGCGTTCAATTGCATATCGCTTGCGAATGTAATTGTTTTCTTTCAACTTACTGCGTTCCGGTTTTCAATGGTAAGGGTGCTGGTGAAATTGCAAGTACATGTGCATTGTCAACTTATATCTCAGAGTGACAGGCGTTGTGGCAGTGCCCCTCAGATCTTTGCGATTTAAAGCTCTGAGTGGCACTGCAACTGCTATAGACAGGCGTGTCGCTTAGTATCACAAAATTTAAAAAAACTTTGCTTGTAGTAGGTACCAATAACAAGGCAAGAAATTATCAAAGCTAGGGACAATGAAATTTGACCATCGACACACGTCACGTGTGCTGACCACCATACTGCTACATCTGTAGCTACGGTGTGGCAACAGACATAGGTTCGTTCATTGAGTCAGGTCAAAGAATTTTTTCTTAGTATTTTTCCGATCGTGTATTAATAATGATAATAAACTATTGGAACATTTTCACGAAAAAATATATAAATCAGTCAGATCGAATCATTCGAAGGAATTTTTTCTGAGTATACGATCTTTGTATTAATGATCATAACAAACTAGTGGAGTAATTTCACATAAATAATTATTGAATATCAATTCAATAAAAATTTAAATACAGTGGATAGCGACATCTGTAGCCAGCGCTGGTAGCTATAAAGATATCTACCTGGATGACGAAATACTTAAAGATGCGACAACAAACACATAGAAAAATTCATGAGATCCGCTGGTTCGTTCCGTGGTTTAGTTGGTATAACGTCTGACACGATATGCTAAAAGACGTCAGTTCGACTCCGGCCGGGTCGAAGGAAATTTTTATGAGTGTTCGATCTTTTTATTAATAATTATAATATGTAACTCATCATGATATTCAATAAAAAAAATCCTTTCAACCTGTTTTGTGAAATTTTTTTGTTTATAATAAAAATGTGATAAAGCCTATAAATACATAAGGCGAGTACGAGCGGGCAAGTTGGTTCGGGCCGACGGTAGGCGAACTTACCATGACCAAATCGAGGCCATCCTAAATAGGGGCCAGGTCAAGAGCATCCTTAACCGACGAGAGTGTATGAAAGCATTGATGCGTGTTGATGAGGCGACAGATGTGTGTCAGGACTGTAGCAAGTGGAAGACTGTTGTCTTTGCCTACCCCGATGGGGAAAAGGCGTGAAGTATATGTATGTATGTATGCCACTGGTTAATAAGGATAAGTAAGGTCCTGGAGACCGCTACTGACCGCCCCGTTGCGTGCACGCAAAGAGAACCCTTAAGGCGGTACGTGTTGACTTCACTGAGAGTACGAAATTAAATCCGATGTTTTTACCTAAGAGTCATTTGAACCCTCTGATTATCTCGTCATACAACAAACAAACACGATTTTTTATCATATCACTAATAGAGAAATAAAAATTTATGACGTCCTGTTTAAATTGACATACAGTGAGTACCAAACTACTAACACGCGATCAAGCCATCCAAACTGGTATTAAAGTATTAAAGGTAATATTAAAATATGATTTTTATCAGAAATGGGAAAAGTACTGTATACCTACTTATCACATTGTTATTGTATCAATCAATAGAGCTCCTTGTGAAAGAGTTCGTTGAGGTAGTACTGCCTACCTTACCTATTTCTGCCGCCAAGCAGTAATGTTCGCATTACTGTGTTCCGGTTTTGAAGGGTAAGGGTGCTGGTGAAATTATGGACACGTGGGACTTGTCAACTTATGTCTCAGGGGACGGGTGCAGTGGCAGTGCCCCTCAAGTCTTTGCGATTTAAAGCTCTGAGTGCACTGCAACTGTTATGGACAGGCGTGTAGCTCACCATCAGGCGCACGACTTGTTCGTCCCGTCACTTGATGTTATGAAAAAAATGCAATTATTTTTAGTGCAGTCAAATATATATATAGTGTGGGTCGCCGGTTCGATTCCCAGTAGGTCCAGGTAGGTTGCTCAGGTACTGGGAATTCCCTACTTTGAGACCAGGCAATTGGTGTGATTTTTTGGCACATTATTATTATTAAGCTTTTATGGTACTTTAAATTTGTATTGAATTGATATTCAATTATTTTTTGTGAAATTATTCCACTAGTTTGTTATAATTATTAATACTAAGATCGAACACTTAGAAAAAATTCCTTCGATCCGGCCGGATTCGAACCGACGTCTTCTAGCTTACCGTGCCAGACGCTATACCAACTAAGCCACGGAACGAACCAGCGGACCTCAGGAATTTTTCTATGTGCTTGCGTCGTATCTTCGTATTTGGTTTTTTAAAAACTTTTTAGTCGTAGCGCCATCTATGTGAAATCTATGAAAGTTTTATCACCCAGTTAGATATCTTTACAGTTACCAGCCCTGGCGAGAGATGTCGCTATTCACTGTATTTTAAATTTTTAATGAATTGATATTCAATTGTTTTTCGTGAAATTATTCCACTAGTTTGTTATAATTATTAATACAAAGACCGAACACGTGGTAGCCTAATGGTTTGACCTATTGCCTCTCAAACAGAAGGTCGTGAGTTCGAATCCGGCCTCGCACCTCTGAGTTTCTTTTATAACAATGTGATTCATCTTATAAAAAATGAGTTTTTCTTATAGTCGGTTCGAATCCAGCCGGACCGAAGGAATTTTTTCTGATTGTTCGATCTTTGTATTAATAATTTTTTGGTACTGTTTAAGCCCCCGACGCAAAAAGAGGGGAGTTGTAAGTTTGAAGCCCCTGTCTATCTGGACTGATCTCAAAACAAGTCTTT